TCACCATCTATCAAAACGTAAAGAGAAGTGTCATCAGCAAAGAGTTTGACATGGGATTGGAGTTCATCTTCTAGGTCATTAATACATATTATAAATAAATAAGGCCCGAGAACCGAGCCTTGGGGTACTCCAGCTTTTAATGTTTGTAAATTTGACTTGTAGCCATCTACTAATACCCTTTGTTGTCTATCAGTAAGATAGCAATGAATCCAGTTCAAAATGTCGTCACAAATTCCATATTTCTTCAATTTGTAAATCAATCCACTGTGTCAAACCCTGTCAAAAGCTTTGCTGATGTCACAAAATACTATCCTTGCCTCTTTTCCTTGATCAAGTTGTTTTGAAGCTTCATCATATAAATGTATTAATTGGTTAACTGTGGAGTCATTGGGAAGGAAGCCAGACTGATTCTTTGATGTAACATTATTCTCAGATAGAAAATTAAAGAGATGTTTAAAAACTATTTTTTCAAGAAGTTTACTAAATAATGATGTGACAGAGATTGGTCTATAGTTACTGGGGTTACCTCTTCCTCCCTTGCCCTTATATATTGGGGTAATATTAGCACACTTCCAAATATTAGGTATGCAACCAGTGGATATGGATTTGTTAAAAATTTACAGTTAGGGCTTCACAAGAGAGTCAGCAATACCTTTAATAAAATAAGGGGGAAGTGCATCTGGATCAGCAGGTTTTTTTACATTAATAAGTTGGAGCTGATCATGAACATCCTGTTCAGTGATAATAATGGAAGATATCTTTTCTTGTGAGATAGGACAATTAGGAGGAATGTCAAGGTCAGTTTTGCCAGTAGTAGAGACAGAGTTGAAGTATGAGTTAAAAGATTCTGCTTTATCCACAGGATGTGATTTAAGTTCACCATTTATTACAAGAGGAGCATCATTGTTTGATTTATTGTTAATGTTCATAATAGACTTTGCAACCCGCCACCACTTACCTGGAGGAATAGATTTGTCAATAAGGGAATTTTGGAGTTTAAGTAGATATTTTTGCTTAGCTTCTCTTACAAGGTCAATAACTGTGTTTCGCATATCTCTAAATTTTTGCCAGGCTGCAGTAGTATTAGTATGTTTGGCCCTGGTATGTTGACGATTTCGTTTCCTAATGTGTAATCTAATATCATTGTTCATCCAGACTTTATCATTTGGACGAATAGTGACAACTTTATGTGGTACATATTTTTCAATACAATTATGAATTTCACTGGAAATAAAATTATTCATAGTCTCTATATCAACATTTTCATTCAAACATGCATCCCAATCAATATTAGATAAATAGATGTTAGCATTAACAAAGTCAGTATCACTAAAGTACATAATTGTCTTTTTATATGCAGATTTCTTATGAGTTTTGAAAGATATATTGCAACTAATTGGACTTTGGTCACTACAAATTGGAGTTTGGGCAGAGGGATTTTTTTTACTATATCAGTTTTGTTAGTCATAATAATATCGAGAGATGTAGAAGAGGTAGGAGTAGTTTTTGTAGGTTCGTGAATAATATTAGTAATGCCAAACTTAGTCATAATCCGAAAGATGTGAGAATTTGGTTGTACGTTTAGCATATCCTGATTGATGTCTCCAATAAGTATATAATCTTTGCCAAGTTCAGTGATATTGTCCAAGACATCATCAAGTTTACTCCAATAATCCACAACAGAGTTTGGGAGTCTATAGATGCAACCTAACAGTAATTTTTTATGACTAAGGGTAATTTCAATCCAAATGATTTTTAAATCTGCTTTCTCTAATTCTAGTCTCCTTTTATATATAATGTTGTCATTGGTATAAATAAGAACTCCTCCACCTCTTCTATCAGGTCTGTCTTTACGGAAAATATGAGGGTGATCAGATAAAGAAATAGCATCGTCAGGGATAGAGTCATTGAGATGAGTTTCCGTAAGGCAGATGATGTCATGATCAGCCAGTTCAGTCTCAAGGATATCAGTTTTATTTCTAAGTGAGCATATATTCAAATGTGCAATTGATATGTCATCAAGGAGTGAGTAATTTCCCATATTACCTGGAGGACCGGGATTGGTATGGATATCCATACACAGTAAAATAAGTTTAATTTTGATGATAAGCATAAATATTATATCAAAAATGTTCTCTCCATGTGAACTGTGTAGATATGAAAAAATCAATTTCATTTTGGTAAGTGATATACACAGATATATGAATTATATTCTGACAAATCAGCATTTTACAACACTTTAACAGTCAGCTCTAAAATAAAAATGAAATTTAAGAATTACAACGTTTACATTTCGATCTTATTTAAACCGTCCTTTTTCATTTTTTATTATTTTTTTCACTTTAACAGTTCATCTAATTAATGTTCAAATTATTTAACAGTGCTTGACTATACAACATAAAACAGAAGGTTGTCCCCTACATTAACAGACTTTTGTATTAACGAAGCTTTGTAACATTTGATTTTGAAAACGTTTTATCAATTGTAAAGCTGTGCCCACGTGTAGATGAACCTTCCCTGGTTTTAAAGATGTCGGATACTTCACAGTCGTATTTCCAGAACATTGTTTTGCGGACCTCTATCATGTCGCCTCCCGAGCTCCTTTATAATATTGTTGTTAGTTTTCGCTTTTGTTTTATATAACCGCTCCATAAAGGATGTCTTTTAGGCTAAACATTTGCTTTGTTTCTCAATGTTTCAATGTTTTTGTAGTAAACTGAAATAAGTTACAGTTCAGTTAGTACTACTCATTAGGTCAATAGTGTGTCCTACGTACGTAAACCTGTGCACCAGTGTATTACGTCACATCTTCATGTGTAGAAGAATAGTTTTGACTGTGACCTTTGAAGATCTACTGTTTGTCTGTGGGTTTTTTTCGAGATAACACACTAGACATGATTTGTGCGTTCAATATGTAGTCTAACTGAGGATGTGTACAGCAACCCTAAAACTCTCCTGGAGCATACAGTATACATAGTCAATCATGGTGGAATTCACTTTATTAACTTTACCGTAAAATGTTAGCCGCTTTTTGCCGACTCGGCAAGGGAGTATTTCTCTTTAGCTCATTCTGTATAGCGTAAGACTAGTAAAACAGAGGTCCGGGGTTAGACTCCCATCGGAAGCATTAGAAAATATTGGACTCCGTTACGTTGGCGCCCACGTAGGAACTCGGGTAATAATGACAAATATACTCAGGGATACTTTCACAAGAATCGCTTTAAATACTGAAAGATTCGGAAGGAGAGCATGTCACACTGGTAAAATTACTAGCTGCTTCCTACCGACTCGGCTTGTTAGAATTTCTCTTTCGAAATTTGGTAGAGCGTGGAGCATGATATTAGTATACCAGAGGTACCGGGTTCGACGCTCAGCGGAGACATTGCCTCTGTTACATACTAGTCATCGACTAAAATAAAATCTGCAGTCTATAGTGACACCAAAATCTCTTTCGACGTTCACAAATTATATTGCTTCTATATTTTCATTAAAGGTGAAGTTGATCAATAATGAAGTCTCGAACACGCATCGATTTGCATTTATCAGGGTATAAACACTAAATCTACAAATGTGTTAGGGAGAGCAAAGGATTTAGATACTTTCACTGGGAATCAAACCAGCGATCCAATACTTCCTACTCCGACGCTCTACCACTGAGCCTGTTGACGCTATGTACAATGTACATCCTGTGTACACATATAAGATCCAAAACAAAAATGTACCAGAAAATTGGGCCGGCTTCGAACACTGAACAGACGTACTAGAAAAAAATGAAACTAGGTTACCGAAACTGGTGATCATGTGTAGCTAAATTAATCTACGTACATTAATATCTTATATTTATTCATAAGTCATTACTTACGTTTTTGCTGTGACGGACGCAACTTTCTTTATATCTGGAATTAATATATTCTCCATACTTATCAATGATTCGCTGAGACCTTCGTAATAGATTGTCGAGCGTGAGTCGAAATTGCAGCTTTCTCTTTGCCGTAACTAAGAGGAAACAATTGGTGACGTCATAATAAACATTACGTCACAAACAGAATGATGCGATATATGGGCGCCATCTATGAGTAGCAGTGAATACTTTTCACTCAATTATCTCCCTTATTGTTCCATTGATATTTTTAATTGATTATATATTGCCCTAGTAACAATATCGATACGAAGACATGTCTAGATTTTCGGAGAGCTTTTTTTGACAGATTAAACTGAATCTTTGATTAAACATATCAATGATTAAAGCTACATTGATAACAAAAATGAAGACTTAGAAAAAGGAAAAAGGAGGCAGTAATGTAGCGGAATTGAACTGGGTCGATCGCCGGCGACCACCAGGTTAAATGTAATTCAACTACATGTAGTTAGAGCGACCGTCATAGGTCCCGAGTTCAAATGCCGATGATATGGTGGTGCTTGTTGATTGATTGATTTTACGTCCGCTTCACTACCGAATAGTTCGAGTATCCATCAGACGAAGATAATACGGGAAAATGAGTAGAATGGATAAAGTATGGAGTGAAGGAAAAGAAAAGGGAGACGGGGGAAAGAGGTGGTGCGTGTCTGCTTGTTCACGGACACGGTAACATGGCTGTTGCTCTACTATAGAGGAGGTGGTATCGGTCAGCATCCAAGTATCCAATGGTCAGGATTCTAACCAAACCAAGCAGAATCTTCAAAAGAAGGGTACAACACACGCGCACACAGAACCTGAGACAGGGCTTGGTCACAGATATATGACAAGATGAAGGAAATACAATGCGGCAAACCAGGATTCGAATCCGGAACCTCCAAACTCTAGCCATGAATTCTTATCCGGATGCAGAGATAGCCTGATTTTAACAGAACATCAATTGTTCAATGCCTGTTTACAAAAATAAAATCGATAGAACAATCTTTTCATCCAAAATATACGCTATATTTCAGGTGTCCTTTTATAGTTTAGTCTAAAATTTCGACTTCAATGTCAACATTTTAGTGGTCAGGAGCTAGAGGCCCGGACAGGGAAAGAACCATTATCAAAATTGTGTTCTTTTGTAATGTAAAAGGATGGAACTAGTGAAGAATACGTGTACGCCGGGGCTCGAACCTGCGATTCCAGACTTTCTAGTCGGACGTACTACCGCTGAGCTAAAGAGAAATTCCCTCTAACTGAGGCTAGTAATACTAGGATATTATTAATTCATGTCCTATCAAAAGCTATGGTCAGTTAAGGACATGTTTCAATGTGTTGAATGCATGCGTGCATGGGTACACGATGTATGCGTGCATGGGTACACGATGTATGCGTGCATGGGTACACGATGTATGCGTGCATGGGTACACGATGCATGCGTGCTGTAGGCGCTCTAATGCTGAGCTAAGATAAATTTTCTCTAGCCGACGCTAGTATGGCGACTATGTAAAAAGTATAAATACGCTTCTCACCAAGAACTGCTCATACATGTACAAGACAAGTACATTTACATGTATATTGATATAGAAATTAACATATTAATGTGCAGGAGTTAGAGACCCTGATAGGACAAGATACAAGAGTTTTTATTTAGAGTCGTATATGTTGAAATCGAAACATTAGCTCTGTAGCGCTATTATTACGACAAACAAAGGTATAAAAACAGGATATATAAGACAACATGCAGAATATGGAAAAGTTCCATTATAAAGACTGTGTTCTTTGTAATGTAAAAGGAAGAAATTGTGAACAATATACATTGTATATTTGCCGGGACTCGAACCCGTGGTCCCTGACTTTCTAGTCGGACACTCTACCGCTGAACTAAAGATAAAACCCTCTAACCGATGCTAGTGACCACTGAGCTAAAGATAAAACCCCTCTAACCGATGCTAGTGTTACCACTGAGCTAAAGATAAAACCCCTCTAACCGATGCTAGTGACCACTGAGCTAAAGATAAAACCTCACTAACCGATGCTAGTGACCACTGAGCTAAATATTAAACCCCTCTAACCGATGCTAGTGACCACTGAGCTAAAGATAAAACCCCTCTAACCGATGCTAGTGACCACTGAGCTAAAGATAAAACCCCTCTAACCGATGCTAGTGACCACTGAGCTAAAGATAAAACCCCTCTAACCGATGCTAGTGACCACTGAGCTAAAGATAAAACCCCTCTAACCGATGCTAGTGACCACTGAGCTAAAGATAAAACCCCACTAACCGATGCTAGTGACCACTGAGCTAAAGATAAAACCCCTCTAACCGATGCTAGTGACCACTGAGCTAAAGATAAAACCCCTCTAACCGATGCTAGTGACCACTGAGCTAAAGATAAAACCCCACTAACCGATGCTAGTGACCACTGAGCTAAAGATAAAACCCCTCTAACCGATGCTAGTGACCACTGAGCTAAAGATAAAACCCCTCTAACCGATGCTAGTGACCACTGAGCTAAAGATAAAACCCCTCTAACCGATGCTAGTGACCACTGAGCTAAAGATAAAACCCCACTAACCGATGCTAGTGACCACTGAGCTAAAGATAAAACCCCTCTAACCGATGCTAGTGACCACTGAGCTAAAGATAAAACCCCACTAACCGATGCTAGTGACCACTGAGCTAAAGATAAAACCCCTCTAACCGATGCTAGTGACCACTGAGCTAAAGATAAAACCCCTCTAACCGATGCTAGTGACCACTGAGCTAAAGATAAAACCCCTCTAACCGATGCTAGTGATGCGACATGAACACTATGTGCAACGTATATCCGTTATAGTAATATGTGTAATACAGTGTAGCGAGCACACCAGTGTGGTAAATATCCGTAAATGGCTTGTCACGGGAAATACATGGTCAATGATCGAACGCTGACCACCAAAAGCTACTTATAAAGACAGGTTGTACATGTATGTTTCGGTCAACGGCTGTTAAATCTGTCAAATAACATTATAGTAAACCTAGCTTAGTGTTTAAAACGTTACTTACGTTTTTGCAGTGACGCGCGCAATCTTCTCAATATCTGGGATTAATATATTCTCCATAGTTATCAAAATGTTATCAAATTTTGCTAGTAAATAATAAAAGTGTGTTAAGTTTCACGCTACGCTATTCCGTAACTAAGACGCAATAGCGAGTGACGTAATAAATAGCATGACGTCACAATACAATAAAATATTTGGGGCGCCCTCTGTAGACAGCATCCTTCATATACTAGTTGCCAGATTTTCTATGTATTGGATTAAAACACCACGGGACACAATTTGTATTGCAATGTAATAGAAAAATGATGCAATGCGTCACTCAATATACAAGATTTTTTTTATTTAACGTCGCATATTCAAAACAATACACATTAGCACTAATACTGTATAGTGCTATTCTTACGACACGATATTCGTCCATTTTGATTTTAAAATCTAGCAAGTTGCTATTTGACTTAACATACGTTTTATTCATCTTGACAAATATTCCTATTGTTTTGGAAGGAAATTATCATAATCGTAGAACCTGGTGCATAATACAGAATGGACGAAAATATTGACTTGTGCAAGTCTACCGATGACTCATGGCTCTATAAATCAATCGATTTAATTCGATATTATTTACATTTTATTACGTTTTATCATTTATTTTACATGTGTATATGACTAGAGGAGTTCTCTTACGTTACCAGAACGCAATCACGATTGAAATTCGAGCATTAAGGTCTTCCACCCTTTTGTAATACATGTACACATGTTTTTCTTGTCTTATTTTCGTGTCGTCATTTCCGTATTGCATTTCGGGCATTTCAATACCGTACTGTAAATTATAGTAACACCTGGTAAACAGTAGTACACGTGCGTGACCATGATATGTCAACACCCGATATCTAGACTTCACTGGGAAATGTGTAGTCACAAGTATATCGTAACACTGACTCGCAAAAAGACACCGACATTGGACCAGACAACTTAAAGAAGGTCATATATGAAGTGCATGGAATGCAAACTGATGCATTTTGTGTCCCGACCTCACCCGTGCATATAATGTGCTTACACCAGTTCACAAGCTCGAGGTCGCTACGATATTCTCGAGGTCGTTACGATATTCTCGAGGTCGTTACGGTATTCTCGAGGTCGTTAGGATATTCTCGAGGTCGTTACGGTATTCTCGAGGTCGTTACGATATTCGCTATCGAGCGTGTTACGTTCTATCGAGTAAATTGTTTTTATAAATGCAGAATACTGACGCTGTCAAAACTGTGTTTTGTTAAAATATTAAGATCCCTAAAAAATACAGGTTTGGGTGCACATGAGAAAGGCATACCATGTGATAACCTATGCATAGTTACATATCTACCTGAGATGTAAATATACCATGCGCTAGCGGGCTGACGAATGATGTCCAAAGTGTACATGATTGAGAGTAATTTGGTTCCATAATAGAACAATAAATTGACACTTTTGATATAATAATTTGTTCCATCATTTAAAAGAGATAACTGTCATTTTGTATTTTTTATCCCTCTGCAAAAAGTTCCGATTTTTTTCAAGGAAGACAACTCTCACCATGATCAAAGTGAGTGTAAAATGTAAAATAAATAGATAATAAAGCCATTGTGTATATCTTGTTCAATTTCCAATAGTTTTTTTGTAAACTGTGTGTCCTGTTTGCTTTTAGATAGTAGATAATCACTTTTATCCATATAATTTCAATAAAAACACTTTGTTTAACGTGTTTTATATATGTTGTTATAAAAAGAATATGTGTAGGGTTAATTAACAACGTCTCTTTTCATTTTTTATTGCTGTTAATGTTCCGAACAATGCCAAACATAACAAGAAAATGCAGCAAAGCTGCTGGACACCAAACCATTTTATGAAAATGACTTACTGACAGTCCACCAACCACGAGGGAACGGATCCTGAATACTTTAATCTATTTAATTATAATCATATAAATTGTAAATGGCATTAATTGTGTTGTTCAGAATATTCAGTTCACGCTCAATATCTAGTTGTAACCGCACGTTTT